TAAATGGGGTTTCAAGTGTTTTTCGTGCATGCGCGGTCGACAGAATAATTCCATTGTGATTTGCAACTGTAGGATCGTTCCCGCAATGTAAATGGGATTGCAAGTGGTGCTGGTGGAGAGTTGCCGATGGAGTTTTGAAGGAAGTCTCGCACGAAATGCGTTTTTGAGAGATAGCAGATGCACGAAACCCTATGTTTTTCCAGACAAAGTGCGTCCCCGAACGTCGATGATCTACCTCTGCGGTGCGACGGGTGCGAGACGGTCTCGTGTGTGGTCGGATCATTCTCGGACCTGGCGGATCATTCTCGGATCGGTTTCGCATTGTAAATGTGGTGTCACCTGTTTTTCGTGCATGTGCGGTCGACAGAATTCCATTGTGATTTGCAACTGTAGGATCGTTCCCGCAATGTAAATGGGATTGCAAGTGGTGCTGGTGGATGAGTCGCCGATGGAGTTTTGAAGGAAGTCTCGCACGAAATGCGTTTTTGAGAGATAGCAGATGCACGAAACCCTTTGTTTTTCCAGACAAAGTGCGTCCCCGAACGTCGATGATCTACCTCTGCGGTGCGACGGGTGCGAGACGGTCTCGTGTGTGGTAGGATCATTCTCGGATGATGGTCGGATCATGGTCGGATCGGTTCCGCATTGTAAATGGGGTTTCAAGTGTTTTTCGTGCATGTGCGGTCGACAGAATTCCATTGTGATTTGCAACTGTAGGATCGTTCCCGCAATGTAAACGGGATTGCAAGTGGTGCTGGTGGATGAGTTGCCGATGGAGTTTTGAAGGAAGTCTCGCACGAAATGCGTTTTTTTCTCCTTTTCCTTCTAAAAATCCTTTTAAAAAGTGCTTCAAAATCTTCTTTTTTTCCGCTCTGGCGTCGAGATCCGGTTTTGAAGCTACAATTTCCGACGCCGTTGCGCGTAGCCCTATTGCGTTTTGCAACTCACATTGTAATGGCTGCGTCAAGGTTGCTTCATGCTGTGGCTGCATGCGTAATACTATTGTCTTTTGCAGCTGGACTTCGTAAATCGTATTGGAGTGGCTGCATGAAGGCTGCGACAGTGATTTGTCAGCAGATTTTCTCCATTTTGGCGCTAATGATTTTCCTTCTAAAAATCCTTTAAAAAAGTGCTTCAAAATCGTCTTTTTTTCGCTCTGGCGAGCTACAATTTCCGACGCCATTGCGCGTAGTTCGCTTGTGTTTTGCAACTCAGTCTCCGCAGATCGCATTGGAATGGCTGCGTCAAGGTTGCTTCTTGCTTTGGCTGCATGCGTAATGTCTTTCTAATGGATTTGTTAGCAGATTTTCTCCATTTTGGCACTAGTGTTTTTTGTTGAACGTAGGTTTAGAGCAGTGGGAAGTGTGGGGCGTAAAGAGTGCAGTGTGAAGTGTGAAGTGTGAAGGAAGCAGTGGGAAGTGAAAAGTGTGAAGTGTGGAGTGTGAAGTGTGGAGTGTGAAGTTTCAGTTTGGAGTGCGAAGAGCGCAGTGTGAAGTGTGAAGTGTGAGGTTTGGAGTGTGAAGGAAGCAGTGAGAAGTGAGAAGTGTGAAGTTTGAAGTGTGGAGTGTGAAGTTTGAAGTTTGGAGTGCGAAGAGTGCAGTGTGAAGTGTGGAGTGTGGAGTGTGAAGACTTTGCTTCGTCTCTCGCTGAAAAAATCAAACGGTTGTCGAGGGAAGGACACGTCGGGACAGGGTGTCTTTGAACTATAGGTCATTTATGTTTGGGAAACTTCCGCCGCCGGCTTGCCCGGGTCTATGTTATACGTAGATTAATCAGCGTTGTAGGAACTACCGCGATGTCACGGGACACGGGCTTCCTAGAAGATCCTACAAGTACAAAACCTCAGCAATTCCAGCCACATGCAAAACTGCAAATTCACTCCAAGAGGGAGCGCGAAGTGAGAAGGAACTGGCCTACCTCACCAGCAACTTTCTAGTCAAATGCATATTTGGCAAAAGGGCTTACCATGACCTGAGTCAGGTGACCTGAGCGAAGCCATCACTTTTGCGATGGCTTGCATTGCACTTGAAGCATTCATCCCTGCGGGGCGAAATAGCTGCAGTCACACCGCTTGCAAACCCAAACCTTAGCAGAGGCCGGTCAGCCTGGTCAGGCCAGGTGGGCCAGTTGGGGCGTGATCATTATGGGTCTTCTGGGTGGCAAATTTGGGGTAATCTTGGTGAATGATTGGAGGCCCTATCTTGACTCTGCCTGGCATTTGGGCTACACTCACTACAGTCACTACAAAACATACAAAAGCATGGGCCACTACTTTCTTCCCATCAGTTCAACTTGTCAATGACGGCAGTAAGGCTGCGGCTTCAGCCTTTTACCTTTTGGCAGCAGCCTTCAGACCCATTCAAACAAAGTCAGACATGAGGGTCTCTGGACAAAGTGGCAGACCAGATCGGAGGCAGGACAGCAAAATCAAAGCAAGTCATGATTGCGCATGGTGTGCTGGCCTATACGACGAATTCATTGCTCAAATCAGGTCGGCGATGTCCATTGGCATCTCCTCGATCTGGGTGTGGTAGAACCTGCTAAACGTGACTGTGCTAGAACGGTGGAGTAACGAGGATGTCCAGTACTCCGCCATTTCCATGACAAGTGTCTGCCCATTTCTGCCAACCGCATTCAAAGGTCTCAAGCAACTTTTCACACATTTGCGGGTTTATGTGGATGCTAGATAATTGTAAAGGACTGGCAACTCATGTACAGGTTGCAAATGGATGTTGCAAGCAAGAAATGGAGAGAGGATGAGCGAGACTTGGCTGTACAACTCCCAACTTGTAGCGGCAGAACAAGAGGCTGGACTGTCACAAATGTTGTGTAGCAGCAACATTACGGTCTGTGCCAAGGCAAACATATAGGCAAACCGGCCTTTCAAGGTCCTTCATGATGCGAACGTCATTGTTCGTAACAAAATTGATCGCCACGCCCTTTCGACCTTTGTTTCTGAAAGCACACAATTTCCAAAGTCTCGGACTGCCTTTAATGAATATCTGATTTGATGGATCCATGCGCCGTGAGAATGAGTGACTTGGCACTGCAAAGTTGCAAGTTTTGCTACATAAGTACAACTTCGAATGCATGACACGCACATACACATACACAGAGGAGCTAAATGTATATAAGTGAGGTATAGGATGGTATAGGATGGTATTGGTACAGGTGTAGGTCATTGAATGCCCCTCCCCGAGGTGGCAGTACCAACATAATTTCGAATTTACTTACCCGGCGGTAGTGGTTGAGAAATGTCTACCTGCTTGACGCCCTTTAACCCGGACAGCCACTGAAAGCCATTTCTTCACAACAACGTGTGTTGCCCTGGCTGGACATTGCTCTGGTTGCTTCAGTTTTCAAACAATATAGCTGCTTTCCCAACCAACTAAGCAAAACCTATTCTACTTGGGCAATTCTCTGCTTGGTCGGTTAGACCAACATAGTTGCGACTGGGCCAAGTAAATATGCATAATAAATATAAATGTGTGTATATATATATACTGTATACACACTGTATGTATGTACGTATGTACGTATGTACGCATGTACGTATGTACGTATGTACGCATGCACGCATGCATGCATGCATGTAATTATGTTATATTAGATTATAAATGATTATATATAATAATTATAATTATTGTGTATATATTATGTATACTATTACCCACAAACGCCGCGTGTTGCCCAGACATTAACATTCAGGAGGTCGTGTTGTTGAATAAGATAGGAGATATTGCAGAACATACTGCATATACACAGAGTTTTCTGGTTTAGGATTCAAAGTTTTCAGGGTTTAGGTTTTAGGGTTTAGGTTTAAGGTTTTAGGGTTTTAGGTTTTAGGGTTTTTGGGTTTAGGATTTAGGGCTCGTCGTCTGGGAAATCTCAAAACACTGGCCCTGCGCAGGTGTTTGAGCATGTTGAAGGATAGTGCTTAAACGCCATGTGAACTTTCCGGGCAACACGCAGCGCCTGGCCGTAATATTATATATAAACTATAATTATAAATATATAATATAATATTACTTTTTTAATTTTGTTTATACATTATGATACATTATGTCCATCCGTCCATCCCTGCACACTTCCATAGGATTCAATTGGTATACACAAATAATTCATAAAAGCTTGAAACTCTGCATGCGACTCATTGGACTCTGCCTTCAAATGCATGAATCATTGAAATCATATGAAATCATATGAAATCATCATGAATCCATTCATGGAACTGACATGAACTGACCATAACTGACCTCTTGAGACTCTAGGTCTCGCACCGAACCGACCGCTGCGTCCGATCCTGTGCAGGTAGTTCTCCTTGATTAACGCTGGGATGTTGCTGCACGGAAAGGGCAAGAATGTTGAGTCTTGAGCATTCTAAATATCGAGAAATCAGTATCCGACAGTATCCTGTCGCTCTTAGCTCTCTGAATAAGCTTCTGTTTGACACTACTATACACCACCCATTTCATACTTTTATAGCCAACAATCAGTCCAGAAGATGTACTGTACATCTGACTTGCTCTCTTGTGCAAAACCTTCATAAAATAGCCGACGGTGCGATTGCATTTAGGCAACCTTTGTAAAGGAGCTGCTGGGTCAACTTGACGATTCCCCCAAACAAAATCCTTTTAGTTCTGTCAAAGTCAAAGATGTCTTTTTGAATGGGAATTCTAACGGCAGAAAGTGGTTTTTGCATGTTTTTGCTTGGTTTTCTAGCTGAATGATATTGAATGCAGAGAGAAAAACAGAATTTGAAAAATGCATTTTTCCCAATGCCTGTGGCAGTAGGGCTGTGGGCGGATGCGCCGTGTCAATGTATCTCCCAATTGTTCTGACATGTTCTGACAGGTTCATGGCAGCTAGAGGACATGGGTGTAGGATGGTGTAGGTGAAGTGAGGCGCTGATAGTGTGTTCTTGAACTTGCCACGGGAAGTTCCACAAGCATGTGATAGAATGGTAGATGGTGTGAGAAAATGCGCATGGCGAAAACATGCGAAAACCATGAAATAGACAGATGCATACAGATGCAAACTCTCCCAATTCGGTCGAGGTGAGGAAATCGGGAACAAACAGACTCAAAGGATATGATATGATGCTTAAAAAAAGAACGCATATCTTTTGCCAGCACCACAAAGAAACCCTCTTTTGACAATCTAAAATACGTAGGTGTAGCCAACCGTTTCCTCTTCAGTTATTTCTCAATTCCGATCAAGGATCCATGTTGGATGGAAGATCGTAATTGATCACCTCAGCGCTTCAGGTGCAAGCGGAAGAATCCAAAGACAACTGGTCAGATCTGGTCAGACAACTGTGGCAAGAAGTGGGACAAACATGACATGGCCTCAAAGAAAGGGACACGAGACTGGTGGACGATGCATGGGAGGGAGCGTAAACTCATTAACTCTTGGCACATCAAATCTTCACATAAAACAGTCATCCAACAGTCATCCAACAGGGCCTGACATTTTGGCATCGTTTACTGTCGCAATTCAGAACAGCATCCTTGACACTCAAAAACTTCTTGAACATTCAAGCTTCATGTATGAAGCCTTTCAAAACACGAGCAACGCTCCGTCTGATCTGCATATCTGCATCGAAAAGCCTTAAAGTGCAGACAAGTTGCTAGGGACACCTGCGTCAAAGAATTCAAACTTTGCTTCCACAATCTGTCACAATCCATTCCCCTTGATGAAAATAGTACCAAAATCCGCTGCGCAGTAAGTAAGTTCATCTTTGCAAAATACAGCAGCAAAAGATTCAACATCGGAACGTGAAAGCGAATGGGTCTAGACTGGTCTTGATCAAAAATCCTTTCTGCCTGCTCACTCAGGCGATCTCATATGCGCAAACTCGCTTTGCAAAATCCAAACCCCCACCACGGCAATAAATGCTTAACCCTAGGCGGAACCACACAAGTTCCAATATCAGCCTGCTGGCAAGTGGTTTCCATCTCTTTCCGCAGCTTCACAAGACTATTAATTTCCTAGGGAATGTAAAGGCTGCTAAAAATCTGCAAGTGCCAAAGTCCCAACCAATGCCAGTTGCAGTGTCATACAGTGACCATAAAAAGTTGATGGTGGATCAACATTGTTGGCCTGCTGCACGTCAATACCACGTGCAAGAAGGTCGGTGGAGATCAAAATACGGGAAGAACCAGAGCGGAATTCTCGCATGACAAGATCACGCTCCTCACACTGCCAAAGCATCTCTAAGGTCTGGATGTAAAACTGGGGGCACAGACAGCACAAATCAGCGCAAACTATCCAATTCCTACTCGGAGCATTCTGCTGATTTCTGCACATGTTGGAATCAAACACCTTGCTCCAACTGTGGAAGTACAAAACACATCAAAACACAAGTCCTTTTGGTCTAGGTCCGCGTGCATGCCTTGGAACATGAGGATCACACAGTGAAATCACATTTTCATACATGTTCCCCAGTTTTTCTTGGCTACCTAGTAAGTGAAAGCGTTTGACTGCAGCCTTGTCAAATTCCAAGATATTCTGAGAGACTATAAGATAAGCATGCTGTACCACCATATACCACCATGTACCACCATGCAATGTTGCTGACATGAGCTGGGATTTTGTATGGCATCGTACAACGTTGCAACGTGCACATCGATGCATATCGTCACTAGCTCTGGCTCTGAGATGCTCTGAGCTGGTGCAGCTGCGTGGCAGGACACAGTGAAATCTCGCTTTGTCAGCTGGTCCTGCAAGAAGTCGACCTTGCGACGAGTGTTGCCTTGGCGCCCAAATGGCCGTGAAAACCCAGGCTGACTACGAAAAATGATTCACAACATTTCACAACATTTCAAAATTAATGTTTATCATTGTTTATCATATTTAATGCGAACAAACAATGTGGCAACCCAAGCAAAAATGGAGAAACAAATTAGAACATGGAAACATATGGAAACAACTAGTTATGCCCGCAGCTGTCATCCCTTCACATCCTGGACATCCTGGTTCAAAGTGTTCAAAATCCACCGGACACATGGGTGATTGAGACAGATTGAGACAGGCTAAAGTGCAAACAGGCTGCAGTAGATGATCGCCTGTGTGATGGTCAAAGTCTCGTAGAGGTCGCAAAGTGTATCGACCTTCCATTCCTGCAACTTTGAATCAGTTCGGACATGCAGAAGAAACATTTGGGACAGTGGGCCACAACACGATCATACAAACCAACGCAAAAACATGCAAAAATATGCTAAAATAAAGTACAAGTATCGCCCAACAAACTAAATACTCAAATAAACACACTATCTCAAGGACTTTGAGACGCAACCAGTTTAATGCCCATCAAACGCCTCCTTTTCAATGGCCACATAGAACTGGCGAATACCTCAATACGGGGTATGTCAACAAGGCGGCACCACCCAAATCCCAAGCATATCCAAAAAATCCAAAAATACGTTTGGAGAAACAAATAGAAACACAGACCTTCAAAATTTCCATGAATTTCCATGCATCTCCTCTTCTGTCGTTGTTCATAGTTTGTTTGTCTTCATTTTGCATACTCGTTCATGTTCCTTGGTCTGGTGCCTTCCAAGGTCAACTCGTCCTTCTTCACCAGGATACGCACCTTGGCATCTGGTATCATCAAGTTCCAGCCTTGAGCATGACTTGATGGGACATCAATCAAGCGACTAAGTTGCTGCAGTTTGGAAACCAAGACTCCTGATGAAATGTGCCACTATGTAAAAGCATCATTGCAAGCGAAAACACTTGACGCAAAATTAAATCTCTATATTCACTCCAGTTCCGTTTTAACACGATCACAAGGTCCAGAAACACTGTAGCCTACAAATCGGTGTTGAACGCGAACCATATCGAACCACTGGGTCGCTGGCAGCGTTGCGCATAAACTTCCTGAGTCGGTCTTCAAGTCTTTCAATTGATCCTTTTAGAAGCCTGTCCTTCCTGCAAAGAAGGAACATTATGCCAAAGCGCGCCGAGCAGATCTCAGCAAACAATTTTCTGATCAGATTTTCATGCATAATGTACATAGTAGTGCCGCACATGGCGGTGGCAGAAGTTTCCATTATAGGAAACTATAGGAGAGGAGAAACTTTTGCCTTGGAAATGTGCTTCGCGCCACAACGGCGTGCACTTTTCCTACATCGCAACTTCCAAAAAGTGCTCCGAACGTGACGTGAGGTGTTTTTAGCTTTTTCACTTAGCTTCGCGCCGCAGCGGCGTGCAATTTTTCATCTCTCATCCGGCCAGCTGGCTCCGCACCCGCCGCTTTCGGGAGCCTACTTTTCGACCCTCCGGAGCCACAAATCATTGGATAAACACAGTGAATCGCGACTTTTCTACCTTTTCCCGCGCCTGCATCTTCTTTCTTCTGACTCTTTCTCTTCTCTGATCTTCTCTCTTATTCTCTTCTCTTCTCTGACTCTTCCCACCTCTGCTTTTCCATCTGTCCATATTGTCGGAAGTTTGACTTCTAACTTCCTTCGACAATCGTTATCTCATACTGACACGAAGCAAGATTTATTGGCGCCACTAAGTTTGAGCAAGAATCGTCGTCATGTCCAAAATCTCAGGAGCCATGGTGGCTGAAAAAAGGCACACCTGCCGTGCAGGACAAGTATCCAAAAAATTCAACAACAAGAAAAAGTTGTTGTCAACTGGTCGCTTTCAGTTCTTAGCTCACTTCCACAGAGCGCCAGTCAACTAATTACATTCATCTCATTGCTATTTTACTGCCATCAAGCAATCCATGTTACAAGCTGCAGGGGTGTTTTTTTTGGGCGAACCTGCACGTCAGGAGGCAGGCACTTGAAGATGTCGTAGATCTGGTCCTTGCGCGAATTCCAAACACAGGAGGCTCAAAGCCTCTGGTCTTCTGTTCCCTCTGCTTCCTCCTATAATTTTATGATACTTTATGTATACAGATTATACAGAAAGCTTCTGTACTATTCTGCACTTTAACCGCGGTGTTGGAATGTTCCGTCCTGCAACGTCCTATTGTCCGCAAATGTACGCAGTGATACGCAGTGCCTCAGTGCTTCGATTTGGGGTCCTTGAAGCCTCGAGACATCAGCTCATCAGCCTCGTCGAGGACAAACACCTCACAGGAGAAATGACATGGACACCGTTATGGTAGATTTCCATAGATTCCCATGATTTCCCTATTCAAGAAGCGACATGAAGACACGATTTGTACAAGTAGAGTGACCACGCTTGGAAGCAAGTTCAGCAATCGACGCGCAACGTTTTGTTTTCACGCAATATAGATCTATATAGATTGTTTTTGGTGCCATCCATGCTGCCTTTGTTGACACGTCTGAAAAACTTTGTGTTTTGGCCGAACTGTTTGATCTGAATCGCAGCCTTGAGATAGTCGACGTTCAGGTTCCGCTTGTTCACCTGGGTCGATGCAAACGCCGTACGGCCCTGCAATTACAGTAAACCATATTAAAACAAGTTGCAAACTGTTGCAAACTGCAAACTACTTTGAAGATCTTTGAAGACAGTGACAAGATCGAACAACTCACATGCAAGGGCAAGCAGAACATGGCTGTAGCAACAAATGCCAGGGAAAGTCGTATGAATTCAATTTTATTGAAAAAGAAGCGCCAATGCCGCACATGCTCCATGAAACAAACTATCACAAAATCATGCAGATGCAAGGATCATTCCAAATGAGCAGTGTTCAAAATCCTCTGTCATCCCTTTATGCTCGTTTGTTGATAGGATTTCCCGTAATGGATTCGGATAATCTCCAATATATCATTGGAATTCATTGGATAGTAAAACATAGTAAAACCGAGTAAAACCCCATATCATCAAAGAACCGGATCCAATGAGCAAGAGCCACATATCTGAAAATGAACTCTAGATTCAGTTCTGGTCTGCTGAGAACTGGACCTTTGGATTTATGGGTTTGACTACAAAAGTATAGAATATTGTACTCCTACAACGTAACATTTTGTATCATTTTGTCATATTGGTTCACAGGAAGACATGTTCCGTTTCTTTTTGCCCTCAAAAACTTCTCTAAGTACCAGTAGAATCAAAAATGATGCACGTCAACAAGCAGCAAAGCAAGAAAACAGGAGGCTGGGAATTACTTGTACATGACAAAAACAACAAAGCGAACAAGACGCAAACTGGCAACAGCAAGCAACAAACGCAAGGAAAGTGCATGCCAGGCAACCATATCGTAGACACCTTGGCACTTGCGCTATATACACAAATGCTCATGCACAAAGCCACAAAGCCCACCCTTCCAACAACTCCTTGAGGAGGAAGTTTTGTTCAGTTTTGCTCTATTCCTGCCTTCCATATGCGAGTGTCTGTGGCCAGCTGGCGGATTTCTTGCATCAACAATGAGCAGCACCACTCACAACATCTGGCATGCGGCGAAACGTTTCTCACCTATGGACTGTGCTCGGGCTTGGAGCAAACCACTTCCAAACAAGTGACGTCCTGGCGTGCCCACGACAAGGTGTTGCCCATCACGGAGCTTGTCCTTGTCCTCCTGAATGGATGTGCCTGGCTTGTGTCACACTGTCACAATGAATGTGCCCAGCAATGTGGTTGGCGGGTTTGGCACATCATGTTGCGTCATCTCTCTGCCTTGTGCTAATGTTGCAATTACTTTCCCAAACAGTCCAAACTTGTGTTTTTTGTTGCAAACACCCGCAATGGCCAAACATGCGCATGTACTGCATCATCTGCATGTCAGGTCAGTAGTGCATACAAAACATTACAAAACAAGTCTTTAAAGTCGGGCCTCCAATGCAGGCGTGAGCCCTGACCTTCAGGTAGTCACCCAAGGCAAGAGCAACTTTGTAGATCCTCAGAGAATTTGGGATAGTTTTTTGGGAAATCCTTGCAAAGATCATCAAAGATCCCAACTCTTCAAACCTGCATCATGCATCATGCATGTTCTTCCAATCTCTGTCACATCTTATATCTGGTCATTCTTCACACATGCTGCTACATCTTAACACACCTTGAATCACATCGTGACAATTGACAATTCTTGACACATCTTCGCACATTTCCGTTTCATTATCTTGTCGAGTCTGGTGGCATCTTGTCGTGCATCATATCTTTGCCAAGTTTCTGATTGGCAAGCTCCCGAGTAGGTGCCAAGATCAATGCCTGCGTGTGGCGCTCAGAGTAGTTGATGCGCTGCAGCGCGCCAATCACCTGGGGCACTGCATACAGCAGAAATACATACATAATGACACACTGCAATGACTTAAGAATTTGTCCAACATCCGGAAAGGCTTAAATGTATCCAACATTCTAAAAAATATCGATTGGGACTTCTGACAGACTTGTGATCGAAATAGCTTCTGCTGCGCCTGTGCAGTGCATTTCATAAACTTTCAAAAAACACTAATTGAAATACCCTCTCCGACTGAGTGTCCTGCAAAGGTTGCTGTTTTGCCCGTTCCGGACCTGGGTTGGCACTTGATGAACGCAATGGATACGCAATGGAATCAGTGTGTGAAGGAACTAAAAATTCGTATACATCGTGCAGTCGAAAACCAACACCTCAAAGATCTTCAAAGGCATGCTTTCACGAGCAACCTGCAAGAAACACATGGAAATACCATCTCAGCCTCGAACTGGGCCTGGCCAATGGTATCACGGCCATCCAAGATCGGCTTGATACCGCCTTGGCAGAAGGCCCGGAGGGCTGTGAATCTGAACGTTGCGCAAATAGGATCAAACAGGATCTTCGTCAAAGCGATCTCAGAATCCCACGCTGCTGAATCGCGCTGGGCTTCTCAAACCCATAAGAGTAGATTCCACCTTGACACAGAGCGCAAACACTAAAACTGCGGGTTTTCTATTGACATGGGGCCTAAAGATCCTACAGCTGTAGGACAAAAAATTGACTGTTTGGCAGTGTTTGCAATGTTTTGCAATTGACATCGAGGAACCCTTACTTTGATACCAACAATATACCAACAAAATGCAACCCACGAACCCGAATGCTCACATGTATGTTAATGGTACAGATGTCGAAACACATGGATATGCAGTCACGTAGAACACTTTTGTGAAACAGTTTTTTTGAACAGTCTTGTGCATTTTTCCCCTGTTACCATACCAGTGCACCGTAGACTGTGGAATATGGAAGAAGGTGGCGTGCTAAGTGTGGAGCGTGGAGTGTAGAGCCTGGAGTGTAAAGTATGGAGTGTAAAGTGTGGAGTGTAAAGTGTGGAGTGTGGAGCGTAGAGTGTAGAGTGATGTAGAGTGTAAAGTGTGGAGTGTTAAATATGGAGTGTAAAGTGTGTAGTGTAAAGTGTAAAGTGTGGAGTGTGGAGTGTAAAGTGTAGAGTGTAAAGTGTAGAGTGTGAAGTGTAGAGTGTGGAGTGTGGAGTGTGAAGTGTGGAGTGTGGAATGTAGAGGGTGGAGTGTAGAGTGTGGAGTGTAAAGTGTAGTGTGTAAAGTGTAGAGTGTAAAGTGTGGAATGTAAAGCGTGGAGGGTGACGTGTAAAGGCAGGGTGTGGACTGTGGAGTGTGGAGTCTCCAAAATGCTGCGCATGCCACGAAAACTGCAACTCATCTTGTGAAAACGACGCAAAAGTATCGCGCCTGCCACACAAAACGACTTTCGACACGTTTTCAAACAGGTTGGAATGTCACAAAGTGCCACGCATGTGACGCAAAACGACATGACAACCTGCTTGGAAACCTTCGAAACGGAGAGGTTTTGCAGCTTCCCCCATAGACACGGCGAGGCCACAGGAAAGCCAGAGACTCGAGACGAGACACGGTGGAGCATCAGAACGAACATTTCGTGCGAGACTTCCTCCAAATTTCACACTTTGAAGCTTCAAACTCGACGTTTTCCTACGAGTTTTCTTATGAACCTCCAAATTTGCTACCTCAAAATTGATATTTGGTGCGAGGCTTCCGCGTCAATTTTCATCACATCTCACAAAACGCCATGCCTGCCATGGAATTTGCACCTTGTCGCCACTCGAGGGAGCCCTGACAATGCGATTCGCACAAAACACGCAACACGACACCTCCAAATGTGCTGCGCCTGCCACGCAAAATAACGCCGATCACGTCCAAAGTGCTGCGCCTGCCACGAAAACTGGAACTCATCTTGCGAAAACGTCGCAAGAGTATTGCGACACAAAACGACTTTCGACACGTTACAAAACACGTCTGAATGTCACGAAGTGCCACACCTGCCACACGAAACGAAGCAACGCGACATGTGCAACCTCCAAAAGTATCCAAAAGTCACCCCTTTTGCAGAACTTAGTCTGAAACTTGGTGCCCTGTGGATCTCCTAGTCTGTATCACTCTTGAAATGCCAAGTCGCAAGTCGGCTTCAGCTGCAATCCTTCCCTTTTGTCTCGCTTGCATCAATTGTTCTGCCAGATCTTTGGGACCAATGATTGGTCAAGGTTCAGGCCAAATTGCGAATTGTGAAACACATCGAGAGCTGAAGAAAACAAGGTGGTATATCTCGAGACTGGAAAAGAGTGCAGCGGCATCACAAGGTAAATGCAGTCAAGTCCCAGGTGTGCAAAGTCTGACCTGGACAAGGTTGAAGATGAACATGTAGGGACTGCCCTAAGTCACTTCCCTCTGAACTCAGGTTGAGGGTTGCCAAGCTCTGCTTTGGTGCTTTGTCCGGAGTCTTTGCCAGGTTCAGTGTGAATCTTAGTTTCATACGGTATGGACTAGATACCAGTCTCAGCCGCTTGACGAAGTTGATCTCGTAGCACGCTACCTTTATTTAAACCATCCGCAAGCATGGCGCGTGTGTCGCACCACAAAAGTCTTGAAACAAGCTTCTCTCGCAGTAGTGAATCAACATCGAAGGATCTGTAGGCGTCTTGGTCTCTTCAGTGATCAAGTTTTCGAACACTGCTGCCGCATCAATCACAACATCCAAGCTTAAGCAGCTTAAGGCAAGATTTCCAGATTCATGCAAAGTGGCTAACTCACCTGCAGACATAGTTCCCATGAGAATCTCACTCATGGTCATGCTCACGTTCATCGCAAGTCCAGCAAGATCCAAGCAGCTGAAAAGTTCAGCTGAGTAGGTACTTCTACACACCCTTGGTTGCTTCTTTGATACAAATTCGACAATCTGCAAACTGTTGTCACCAAGTCTTGGAAAGTCTTTCCCGACCAAAGCCACTATTCCAGAACGTATAGCCAAATGGTCTTGATCTTCGCCTTTGAACCCAGAGTCAGAAATGGCCACGATTCTCCAAGGATTCGGAATCTTCTTGAAGACCATCGCCAGAGGTTTAGCTTTCACATATCGCAAAACTCTGTTAAGATTCAAGAGATCTTCAACGCAAGGCTTCTGTAAACGTCGCTGTAAGGCACCCACAAAAATTGCGACATCAATTCTCGTCTGAACACACCATGCAAGCCCTCCTATCAAAGACATGAACTACTTCTGGTATTCTTCGTCCACAAAGTCAGACTGGTTCATTAAACGAAGCTTGTCTTCAGGAATTTCACGCAGTTCATTGACATAGTGTTGTTGCGAAACACGTACCGAACCATCATCCAAAGTTTCATGTTGAAGACCTAGGTGAAGGAAATTGCCTTTCTCAAGCTTCAAAGCATCAAAGTGTTCTTCCAGACCCTTGATTAGCCTGTCCATCATGTCAGGCTCGCCTGTGAGTTTGATATCGTCAACATGGATGCTCAAAAGAAGACGTAAACGTCCTGAAACATGAATAGTGTAGAGTTGAGGATCAATATTTGTTGGTTTCGCCCCCAACTTCAAAAGAACTCTCTTCAACGCCAGCAGCCAAAGACGCGGCGCGTCTTTCAGTCCGAATCCAGGTTTTCGGAGAAACAGCACTTCAGACTGCGGATCGAAACTCTCATAGCCAGGCAACAAACGAAGCAAGTGTTCAGCACCTGCTGGAGGAATCAGTATTTCCACTTGCCTCAGGACACCTTGGTTCTCATCTTTCAGTTCTGCAAACGTCAGACCTCGTAAAAACGCTTCACTGATATCTCCGGACCAAATAGCCCAACCAAATTGTACTGAAATAATGACGAGAAGGCGTTGGCCCCATTTGCTCGTAGTGCCAGCGAAGTTGGCTGTCTCCTGTCTATCCACAAATCCTTGCGCTACCAGCCTTGACTTGATTCGTTTCTGTTTGACTCCATCCTTGGTGATAACTTTCCACTTCAAAACCCAACGCGACTTCAGAGGATTGACCGAATTTGCCTTGGGACCCCGAAACCAAGCATCATGTTTGGTCCACCGTTGCAGTTCTTCAACCATTGAGTGTTTACATTCCTCAGCATGTTGAAGTGCTTCATCGCGAGTCAGTATGTTGTGCTCACGCTCTATAACTGCATAGGGAGCCTTGCCATTCTCATAGAACAGAACCAAACGCTTGTTTCCAAAGTCATAGCTGCGGTCATATCCGTTCACGCTGAAAGTCACATAATGGGAAAAACATGGTGGAAATTCAAGTTCTGCAGCATTGTCAGATCCACTTTCATCATCCACATTGATCACGTCAGGCATCTCACCACATCCATAGTTCACGGGAGGCACATCAGAGCTGTTAGAATTCCCAGCCAAGTTTCGATCGCCAGTCATTCCTGCAAACTTGAAGTTATAGGCAGCCTCAACCAAATGATCTTCCACGGTAGAACCAGAAACAGAAGTCTGCACTTCTTCAATCAGTGGACCTGATGTTTCGATCATTGTTGGAGCTTCAACATTGGGCTGATGAAAGTCATCAGCAGGCGCGTCATCATGCTCAAGCATCTTTTGTTTCGATCTGTGAATCACATCATCCGTTTTGTCCACACTTCGGTCGTACATCAGGAATTGCGCGACAGCTGTTTGTGCAACGTCTGAACCCACAACTCGCTGAAGATTGATGTGACTTGTGCCAGACATGTAGCAGCGATACCATTCCGAAATTCGACCAGCCGTCCACCAGACTAACAACGTGTCATCGCAAGCAACTGCTGGGAGTGAAGAGACACCTGTTCCAACTCTCATCCCAACCACACCGTCAAGCTGCAGACAAACTGCTGCTACATACAAGCCAGCGGAAAGCAAACCCGAAAATTCGGAATTCCCTTGACAACTTGTCCAGTGTTGACCTTGTTGAATCCAACCCAGACGCAAGACATGGCCGACATGGCCTTCGATCTCCTCCTTGAACATCTTCACAGGTCCAGAAGGCCGCATCATGAAGACCAAGAACATCATTGACCGTCTCAAGTCAGCAATTCGCACTGCTATCACACGGCCTTGCCATTTCACATGCACCATCCCATCCTGAATGCTGGTGACGTTGACCACCTCGGCTGGTCCACTCCAGCCATGCATGTCTTGGTTGTTGGCTTTCGGAAGAAATCCACCAAATCACCACATTTCAGTCCAAGCAGTTCACCTGCACGTCTCGTTTTGGTCGTTGCTGCAAGCTTTGCCTTTTGTTCTGCAGTGGCTTGGATCATGGAGTTGATTGCAATCTGTCGCAACCTTGCTGCATCGCGATCAGTCAAAGGCTCTCCAGTTTCTTCGGAAGTCACTGCAAGCAAAGGAGGCACACGGCCAAAAAGTGCTTCACAAGGTGTTGAGTTTCCAACTTGAAAAAGCGCATTCTTTGCAAACAACGATTCGGCCAGCAACATTCGAAAACTTGTTCCCAAACCTTCAGTGTTTGCTTGATCTTCCGTAACAGGCAACTGTCTGCGCAACAACTCATTGTGTCTTTCGACCATTGAACATATTGAACAGTGTTGGTTTCGGGCTCGGAACTCAAACTGAATTCCCTTGTTTGAAAACCATTGTCCAATGTCGTCTGGAATCAAACCTCCTTCTTGGTCCGACAAAACAGTTTCAGGAGGCCCAAACAAACGTAGCCAGGCTTCACAAAAACCTTCAAGAATGCTCGCAGACTCGCGATTTGCAATCACCACGGCTGAACTCCACCGTATGCAAGCATCTATTGCATGAAAAATCACATAGGTAATACATAGGTCTTGTAAAAAAGAAGATCAATCTGCACTTTCTTGTTGAAGGTATCAGGAACTCTCATTGAAGTCACCGTCTTGGGATCCGTTCTCTGCCAGTTTCTGCAAATAGCACATGTGTCTACGATACTTGGCACCAACACAAGAACATCTCTACTTACACCAGCGGCTTCAAGCAAAGTCATCATCCTTTTGGAGGAACAGTGGAACCAACGGATGTGGAGCTTCCGCAGTGTTCCGCGAACCACGCCCTCACGGATTGACCTGAGCTGTTGTAAGGCAAAACCCAAATCATATTTTGACCAGCCAGGCACTGCAACTTGATGTTCTGGCTCATCACGTGGGACAATTGCCCCTTCAGCTGCTGGAGGAGGATCAGGTGCATTGACTTGCGTTGCAGCATCAAGTCTTCGTCTCACTGGGCCAGAGCTGGGGCTGGCTTTCTCAGCCCGTCGTCGCTCAGCTTCTTCTGGAGTGAGCGCTTCAGGCGCTGCTGGATCAGCTCTCTCATCCAAAGCTTCGCCAGGAACACCATCATCTCGATTCTCCAAACGCAAGACTGCAGTGGGATCAGAAGAAGCGGGAACTCTGCCATCTCTAGGATGTCGTGCTGAACGCTCAGTGCTTGAACCTTCAGCTACTGTTCTTGCAATTGACCAACGGCAGTCAGGTCCATTAGTGTGTGACTCATGTGCTCTGTGTCTATTGTGTTTGCAGCCATCGCATTCCCAAACAACAGGTTGAACAATAGGCACGGCCATAGGGCCCTCACGCGGACGGCTGCGAACGGTTGCGGACGGTTTCGGTCGTAAACGCAACGTCGAGCAAACACAGCCTCAACCCCCTGCTACGCATTCGGGAACAAAATCCTAAATAACTTAAATGTAAACACTTGTCCTATCTTCTCCTAGCAGCTTCTTTGATTTCTTTGGGAACCACTTCAAATCTCTACATCCGTGTATGATCGTGTATGTAAGAATGAAAGTCCCCAAAAAAGAACTCTCCAAAGAGAAGAGGGAACAAATAAAAACACCTTTGCTGAAAACTCTGCTGCCCTGTGGCGGAGAAGGTTTTCATCCAGGTCGTAGTCGTCAAATGACTCGAACACTGGGTACTCCTTTGAGAAACATCACTCGAGTCACTTGAGGCATCTCGAGCTAAACTCTTATGAGCACATTTCTTGACACACTGCTAGAACATGCTAGAACAAGAAAATTCAGATTCTGCATGATTCTGCATGATTCTGTTCCTCCGCCCCTGTCACGGTCACGCCCTCGGACGACATGGCTATGCCTAATCCCTACGTGAACCTCCTCTCTCTCACTATCTCGCTTGAATATGGCTCGCTGGGGGCGGGCAGATTCTGCGGTGCAAAATTGGGACAGCAAAGCATGTGAATTTGTTCCAGAGAGCATAGGGAAACTATGCAGTGCAAATCATTGCAAAACTGTCACAAAACTGAGTCCAGAAAGGAACTTCATCCTGCAAAGGAACACAATGAATCACAATGATATAGCAGAACGCCTAGTGTGATCCTGTGAATGGTATATATACACACATATACATAATATGTATATTATACCATACAGTATGTAAAAAATGCTTAAAGATATCATTTGAACATTCTCAAGTTCTTGCACAAAGGGCAACGCAAGCCACTTGCGCCTCGAACGCTGCACCAACTTCCACTCATAGCCTGGAAGACCTAAAACAAGAGTGACATGTCTCCAAGATTCTCCAAGCATCCGGGGTCATGGGAACTATGGACACATGTGAATCCAGGACTTCACGATGTGTATCCACGATACGACAAAACAGATCTTGGACGAATTTGGCCAAAATGCAGAAGGCCATGATGGGCCATGACAACTCATGAAAGCGCATGACAAGCACCGAGAGGAAGTAAGTAATTATGGAGGAAAGGACGCTCTGAAGCTACATCTGACTCCAGCTGATTCTGCGCTACCCATACAGTAGCACGTGACCTCCTGCTTGCTTCACCACCTCCTTTCAAAGGAAACACTGTAGGTTGAAAAAAACTGTCAGGGCAGACAGCAACTGAGCCAGTAACACCGGGTCCATACTTTTTTTTTTCGTTTTGTTTTTGTTCATCTGCTGTTCTGTCAATTTTCTTTGCAATTTGCAGCATTTTGAAGCTGGAAGCTGCCATTTCAACGGTATTGCAACATTTTGGAGTTCGAACCTCTCATTTTCCATGATATTTGCAACATTTTGGTGCTCAAACTTTTCATGTTGGATGGTATTTGGGGAATAGGTGCCATTTGGGGTTTGTTTAGGTTTGTTTCAGGGTTTATTCGGGATTGGTTTAGGTTGGTTTAGTTTTGTTTTTTTTGATTAGTTTCAAGGTTGGTTTGGTGCTTATTTTGGGTTGGTTCAGGATCTATGTAGGGTTGGTTCAGGGTTTCTTTAGGCGTAGTTTAAGATTTATGTAGGATCTATTTGGTTTTAGTTAGAGTTGGTTCAGTATTTATTTAGGTTTGGCTTAAGATCTATTTGAACTATGGGGTGGGTTTATGATCTATATCTTTAGGGTGTATTCAGCGTAAATTTCAGAGGTCTGTTTTCGGGTTACTTAAGGTTCTTTTTTTTTTGGTGTTAGTCTTTGGTTTAGGGTTTGTGTGGGGCAAGTTCCAGATTTTAGGGATGTTTAAGGGTTTACTTAGAGTTGCTCTAGTTTTTTCGGGGTTGGTTTGGGGTTTGTTTAGGGTTGGTTTAGGGTGTATTTTTGTTGTGCATCTTAAGCTTGAGAAGCAAAACAAACAGAAAACAGCAGAGAAGCAGAACAGTGAAGAAGCAGAGAAACAAAGAAGCAGAGAAACAAGGAAAGGAAGAAAAGCAGAAAAGCAAAGAAACAGGGAAACACACATCACATACAAAAAACAAAACGGAAAAAATAAGTCACCCAAAAAATCGACCCCCATTACACATACCACTACTAGTATACTATATCCCATATCATTATACTAGTTGGTTGATAGGTTTCCGTAATATGGGTTATCAATCATAATCCCCAATCAACCAGGTAGTGTAAAGTCCCTATGTTAACCAATCAACCACGGTATTTCCAATGGTTCAACTGGAATTCGTTGCCATGCTGGAAAGTGCAACTAGTTGAATGTCCACCGACGTTGATATCTATGATACAGCCTGCCAAGGAATTTTCTATCTGGTTTTATCTGTGATGTCTGAATCTGTATATCAAATATACGTACACATCACACATACACGTTTATAATATAAGATGTCACACACACACATGCACAATATCAAAATTCTATAAAATTCTTGTATTACTGTGTGTTCAATTTGCATTCAATTGTGTATCTATTGGTTCTCATTGCTCACATTCAATGGGAGTCTCTGCAGCTGAGAGGCCAGAGCTCATGCTCAGCACAGGCCCACCTTTACGCTAGACGCTCCTGTTCCAAGAGATGGGATGAAATCGTCATAAATCGTGAAAAAAAGAGAACGAGGATGAACGAGGCAAACAAACCACAGCCTGAAAAGAAAAGGGCAATGAAGGCAAAACAGAATCAATACATATCAATACAATGCGGAGGCGCATGTGCAAGAACAATACTAAGATGTTCAAGGTTTGCAAAAACACAGAAAGAATGAGCAGTCAGCTTTATCGCTTTTTCTGCAATGCATAGGGATCTGCTGAAGTGGTATATAGACGCTTGGTGCGTGAGATGAAACAAGGCGCAATCCAAACATATGGAAACTTTGTCTATGGCAATGACTGCCAACGTCAGCTTGATGAACGACCGTATGAGGACAAAGCCGTCACGTCATCTCACTGAAAACTCTTAAACATTACAGTAGAAACAGCAACACAACATGAAATGACATGCGACACCATGTGACACCCCAAAAACCATCAAATGGGTTGAAATTGTAAGCTACAGTACTTCTCTCTCCATCTTTTCGTCCACGCATGGCGTTGCTGACGGATTCGAAAGAGGCAGTTAGTGAAAAGATGAGGCGTCGGCAGGCTGTTTTCACATGCTTAGCGCTTTAGAGATTGGCAACGTCCCGCTTTCCACTAAAGGGCAATGCACAAACAGATCAGTGTTCCCAACCAGTGACAGGTCAAGCCTGCAGCATGCTTTAGCCATCCTTAGCCGCAAACTAAAACATGTTTAAACCATCTGAACTCAGTCAGCTGGCTTTTTCGCATTGCACTTAAAGCATTCATCTCTTCTCGCGAAATTGCTGCAGTCGCATTTCTTGCAAACCCAATCCTCAGTGCTCAACACCACGTGCGATTCATCAAATTATGTTCATTCGTATTTAATATTATATACTAGTATACTAGTATTATATATTAAAATATTATAATATCACCAGCGTTTTAAGGAAGGGGGACGTATCCAAAATGTAAGCTACATCTTTCAAGGTGTTTTTGAGGGGGGCCTTGAAAATGTAAGCTTACATTTTGAAGGTAAAAACCACACCTGGGGGACGTTCAGCAACCAATTTTACATTTAAGGGGGTGTCCCCCAAAAATGTAGCTTACATTGTGGTATGGTCCCCCCAGAAAAGTGGCCTTAAAGGGGTGGTGATTAATTATATATATATAATATAATTTGCAATCATATTTACTCAATATAAAACAGCGTAATGCTAATCGATGCAAATGTTATGTTATGTATGTTTGTATGCAAAAATGTACACCCCCTGTTATTCACAAGAATGAAGGGCAAACTGGCTCGGACATATCACATATCAATACAATACCTGCTACCGACTGCTACTGTCAATGCTGCTCCGGATTATCTGGAGCGCTCCACAGGAAAGCAATCTTCCACTTCTTTGTGCTATATCATACTATATCTGTCATCCGTTGAGCACAGGAAACGTTTGCTGTGTGCAATGCTGTGCATTCATACAACACCAATCAACACCAAATGGCACTTTTGGCACCATAGAGCTAGCAATATTTTGACGATTTCCTGCTTTCTCCGAGAACCATTTAAAACTACAACAATGTGCCGCTTACAAATGATCCGTCGAATGTTATGATGTATGGAACAATGCCTTAGACTAGCCACTTGATCTTGCTAGTCTCACATTTTTGCAATGTTTGAAAGTTGTTGCCTTCTTTGCTGGACATGTCCGTTGCCATGTGAGTCTCCATGCAGTTTACCGGGGAAATCTGAAATTGCACCTGAAATTACACTGGCAAAAGACCCCAAACAGTGAAGGGGTAGGAAACCAATGTGCCAGATACAAGCAACAGTAGCTATGGAAGAGTAACAGAGGAGGTGAGACATGATCGCAACTGCAGCAGCAGGACCTTCTATGTAGATCCATATGGAGGAGCGAACTCACAAGATCTTCATACAAGAACTTCGTATGAGCATCCCAGAAGAACTTCCATACAAGCACCGATGTAGAGGAGCTTTAAGATCTTAATGCGAAGACCTCTTGAGGAGGGTTGCAACAGGATCTCCACAAGATCTTCTGTTGAGGACTTGTGCAGGATCATGCAAAGACCTC